CTATTATTTCAGAGATATCTGGTGTGTGATTTCCAGTTTCCTCAGTGCTAGTGTCTTCTGCATTTGTACTGGGTGGACTCGAGGCCTGAGACTGCATTTTGTTCCTTCTCTCTGTCATTTTGTATACCACTGTCTTCTGACCTTTGGTGAAGAGCTTGGATAGAGTTACTACCTTAGCTCCAGGTCCGGATCTACAAAGTTCAGATTCCTCCAGGTGGGTATTGCTTGGATCTGGCTGTGTGCTCCACTTCTTTCTGTTGCAGCCATTAGAGTTGAACCCTTTGTGTCTCTCTGGCAAGGTGTTCTGCTCCTGAAACAGCTGGGTGGGTCTTGCCTCTAGCCTCTTTGCAGGGAGTTCTCCTGAAGGGTTTCTTGCTGGACCTGCAACCTGTGTCGAATGAGGATCTGTGGCCCGGGTGGTCTCACTCACTCCCTGGGCCTGCGCTCTGGGTCTGTTCAGGATCCCGCGGCCCCGGTCCTCCCACTCACTCCAAAAACCAATATTTTCATCATCAAATAGCAGTCTGTGTTTATATTTCTAATTTACTTGGGGATGTAATAAATCATTTTTAATTTTAAATTATGGAGATTCAGATGTTTTTAATTCAATAATTTTTTAAAAATACAGGTCTGACTTTTTTTTCTGAGATTTGTCCTGAACCTTGCCCTTAATCGGTTTTTTTACCATAACACTCCTGGTTCATTGGGGCTACAGGTTTGCATCACTATATTGGGCCTAATAAACATTTCTTAATCTTTAAGGTCTGCAATGTTTTCCCTGCTTTTATTGATTATCTCCCTGGGAGCCATAAAAAAGTACTTAAAAACTTTGCCTACATAAAAAGTTATGTTTTGGAGAAAGTCAAAGAGCATCAAGAATCCTTGGACATTCACAATCCTCGGGACTATATTGATTGTTTCCTGATCAAAATGGGACAGGTAAAATGGTATTTGCTTGTATTTTGAAGTTAATTGATAAGTTCTGTACCTACTGGAAATGTACACTGCGTAAGCATTCATTTATTTTATTTTTTTGGCGGAACAGGGGACTGAACTCAGACCTTTGCGCTTGCCAGGGAAGCGCTTATTCCACTGAGCCATCTCCCCGGCCCCCATGTGTAAGCGTTTAATATCTAGTGTGCACATGAATCTGGAGCAAGCATCTGAATTCGTAAAGAAATTAGAACACAGGGACTGTTTTCATGTAGTAATAGTGTGGTCAAAGGCAGGTGCCTGAGTTCTTAGCCACTCCAGGACATCCTCTCCCTTCCTCAGAAGGGAAGGAGTAGCATCTCAAGTGGTGGTGGGGAGGGGCCTGCCCTGGCTGGCTGCACTCTTGCTGGCGTGGAGAGTGGCCACCTGAGAGCCAGGGAGGGCGCTGCAGCAAGTGTCCAGTTCATCGGGGTTCAGCAAGGGTAAGCAGGAGGTGGGGCTGCCTGTCGCTGGAGGAAAATGAACACGTGAGGCTCTTCTTGTCAGTCTCCCTGTGTGCAGGGGATCATTTCAACCCTTGGGTATTTAGTTAAGCATGCTTTATGGTCTAACTTATGGCCTACTTTGGAAAAAAAGTTAACATTTTCTGTCCTTTTAAGTCTAGTAGTTTTTGTTTAGTGAAGCTGGGTGCCCGACATTTGGTGCAATCCGTATCTGCTATTGTTATCTCTTCCCGTTGCATTGTTAGTGGCCGTCTTTGTGGTCACCTCCATTGTCATGTATCATGTATGTGTTTTGTGTACAAAGAAGGAAAGAAAATGGCACCAGCAGTATCTTCTGTTACATCATTGGCATGAAATGTTTTGTGTGGCTAGTGTACCTGCAATCAGCCTGCAAAGAGGAATCATGAGACAGTCAAGAAATAAGGGTACAGAAATGAAGACTTGGTCAAGCCATTCGTATTCTGCCATACAAGGCCGTGTGGTGGTGTTAATAATATAGTGTGCATTTTAAACATTTGCTTATCTTTTGAACTGCCTGAATTATTTTGTAGTTTAATGTGATGCTAATTAATAATTAAATGATAATTTTTAGGAAAAGCACAATCAGAATTCTGAATTTACTACTGAAAGCTTGATGGCCACTGTAACTGACCTGTTCATAGCTGGAACAGAAACGACAAGCACCACCCTGAGATACGGACTCTTGCTCCTGCTAAAGCACCCAGAGGTCACAGGTAGGACAGCAGAAAGGCACCCAGAGGTCACAGGTAGGACAGCAGAAAGGCACCCAGAGGTCACAGGTAGGACAGCAGA